TTCGTCCAGCCCGAAGACGTGCTGACTCAGGAATACCAGGAGGCCATCTGCGCACGCCCCACCAACCTCACCGTCGGCGAGATGTGGGAGGAGCTCACTAGCGCACCCACCTTGTCCGCGCTGATGAAGGGCTCAGCACTCCCCCCGGCCCTCCGCATTTGCCACAAGCTGCTGGCGGGGACCATCCATGGCAGGAAGGAGAGTCAGGGAAAGGTAACACTCCCCGACCTCTTCGTCCTTTACTGCATGTGCCAGAGGCATCGATGAAACCTTGGCTACTTCTTCCTGAAGGCCCTCAAGGACTTCGGGAGCAGGCCGGTGGGAGCTGTCCTCATGGCCCCCCTCATCACCCCTCTGGCAGAAAAATGGGGGTGCAGTGACTGGGAAGAACTGGCCTCCAGCCAACGGCCTGAGTCTATCAACGGGTCGATACTGGTCAGCATGGGGATGCTGATGCGCCGCGGAACCCAGCTGATCCTCCACCCATCGCTGGATTTCGCCTTGGACCTCCAGGAAATCGTGGCAATGCACGATCTCCCGACACCTCCCGATTTTCAACAGCCACAACAGTAGCATCAGTATCAGCAGCAGTACACAGACGACTTTGCTGGCGTAAACTGCAACATCTACGATCTGCGCCAGCAATTCGAGCAGATGTCTGTAAGGCAAGAACAAATGTCCCTAAGACAAGAAGCTTTCGACACTAGACTGGAGACGATATACCAGTATCAGGAGGGGATGAGGCAAGACTGAGCAACATTCCAACAAGAGTACCGCGATGAAGTCCAGGACCAAGCAGAGTTCCGGAGGCATATGTACCAGCAATTCCCCTCCTACAGATCGTCTCCAGATGAGAGCCCATAGTCTTAGGGATAACACTTATAGAATAGAACTGTTGTAATAAAATATTTCATAAATAAAATTTTATTCCATGCATCTTTTTATCCCTTCCAAAAGTCAGCGTAATCAAAAGAAGATAAAGAGAAAAAAGACTTACGCTCAAGAAAAAAGCCAGAATCCAAAATCGTGAGGAAAAAGAGATAAAACCGCAAAAAAAGGCAGGATTGAAACAAAGTCAACCACCTCGACTAACAAACTTCGAAAACCAAGTGAGAGTCGAACACAAACAAAGCCCACCCGACCAACCAGCAAGAGTTGGGTGATCACCATCAAAAGATCAAAAACAAAGAATCCCCAGCAACCGACAAGGCTGGATGAACACCAACAAAATCCCTGGCACAGACCGGACGACCAAATAAAAAACAAAGAAAGCACATCTCAACAAGCGGCGCATGAGCCACCTGAGCAGAAAGCAACCACCACCACCAGTCCTACGCAGTGGACTGTACCAGCCTGATAGGGGGTTTATACCTATCAACCCGCGCACGCAAGTGCGCCTGATTTGCGCTCAAGCCGGATCAGTAAGTCGCAACTACCAGCCTGATGGGGGGGTTCATACTCATCCAGTCCAACACATAGCGGACTGCAAACTACCAGCCTGATGGGGGGTTCATACTCATCCAGTCCAACACACAGCGGACTGCAACTACCAGCCTGATGGGGGGTTTATACCCATCAACCGAAGGATCGGCTACCGTCAGAAGGAGTATCCTGAGGTTCTACCACGTGTCAACCAAAGGGATTGGCTACCGTCATAAGGAGTATCCTGGAGGTGCACGACACAAATTTTCCTAGAAGATCAACCGCCGCAAGACGGAACATCCGAAGGGTAACCAGGCAAGAGGGTTAACTCCTTTACCTTCCAGTCATTCTTCTTGGCACAACAGGCCAACAACCGACTGGTCAGTAAAGGGGGGGCAGTTGTAGACCCCTAATCTTGCCCGGCCTCATAATAAAGACCAGAACACCTCCTTTTTGAAGATGGATGAAGCCTAAGAAGCCATTAGGAGAGACTATTAGGTCCCGTACTAGGATAGGAGGGATTTTTGGCTCAAAAATAAGGATTTTCGCCTTTTAAGGTCGAGACCGCCGTCTCAGATTCGAGACCGCCCTCTCGACTTGCGCAAATGGCGAGACCGCTGTCTCGTTTGGCGAGACGGCCGTCTCGTTTGGTGAGACGGCCGTCTTGCCATTCTTGCAAGGCAAGACGGCCGTCTCGACCTGACAGGCGCGAATCCCTATAAATAGTCGCGCCATTCCCCTCATTTCACACAGTTCTTCCATTCTCTCTCTATATTTTTCTTCAAATTCTCTTTCTAGAATCCCTCTGAAGCATTTCCGGAGTTTCTGAGAGCTTTCTAGAGTGTTTTATAGCGTTTTTGAGTGATTTCGGCGCTGTAAAGAGTGAAGGGCTGCCAAAAAGCACCCTAATTGCAAAGAATTAATAGAAAGCTTGCTTCGGAGATTTCTATACTCTCTCTCTCTCTCTCTATTTTACCGCTTTAATTTTAATTATGCAATAGAAACTAGGGCCATGTAGTCATAATTTTAAATTCCGCAAAATAAAGGGTAAAAGCGTATTTCCACTGGTTTATTTATTTGTCCAAAGTAGCTGGCCTATCATAGGGAACCCGAAAGGGGCGTCGTAAGGGAACTAACACTTCCCTTACACGTAACTAACTCCCTTACCCAACTCTGGTTCTAATGACCAAAGTTGGTTTTTCGAAAACCAACCCCTTTTTACTCCTTTTCTGATGTTTCCGGTAAAAACGTCGGTGGCGACTCCAAAAGAACCCTTCAAAGACTAGTTCTTGGTTTAGCCCGGTTATCAGACAATCAAAGAACACCTTTTCAAAAACCTCGCCCCTAGGTTCAGCCCAGTTATCGGACAATCTAAAGGCGTTGTAACCACACCAATAAAAACGCGAAAAATGGAAAGTTGGAACCATCGCGTCGCTCTGACCGCCTCGTTTTGATGGCGACGACACTGGCCTATCATAGGGAACCCGAAATGGGCGTTGTAAGGGAACTAAGACTTCCCTTACACGTAACTAACTCCCTTACCCAACTCTGGTTCTAATGACCAAAGTTGGTTTTTTGAAAACCAACGCCTTTTTACTCCTTTTCCGATGTTTCTGGTAAAAACGTCGGTGGCGACTCCAAAAGAACCCTTCAAAAACTAGTTCTTGGTTTAGCCCGGTTATCAGACAATCCAAGAATGTCCTTTCAAAAACCTTGCCCCTAGGTTCAGCCCGGTTATCGGACAACCTAAAGGCGTTGTAACCACAACAATAAAAACGCAAAAATTGGAAAGTCGGAACCATCGGTCGCTCCGACCGCCTCGTTTTGACGGCGGCAACAGTGGGCTATCGCAAGAAGGAGCATCCCGAAGCTACAACAAAACCGGATGGGGGTTCTTACTCATCAACTGAAGGGTCGGCTACCACAAGAAGGAGCATCCTGGAGGCGCACAATATTTTTTTGTCCAAAGGGTCGGCCACCGTAAGACGGAGCATCCGAAGGACAGTCGGGCAAGAGGGTTAACTCCTTCACCCTCTAGCAGACCTTTTTGGCATAACAGGCCAACAGTCGGCTAGCCAGGTGAAGGGGGGGCAGCTGTAGACCCCAAATCTTGCCCGACCTCAAAATAAAGAGCGGAAGACCTCCAATTCGATGATGGGCAAGGCCTAAAAAGTCCCTAAGATAGACTATTAGGCCCCATATTAGAGTAGGAAGGTTTTTCTGTACAAAAAATAAGCATTTCCACCTTAAGGGTCGAGAGTGACGTCTCACTTATCGGGACCGTCATCTCGCCATTGGCAAGATCGAGACAGTCGTCTCGTTTGGCAAGATGGCCGTCTCGCCACTTGCCATGGCGAGACCGCCTTCCCATTTGGCGAGACGGCCTTCTCGCCATTTGGCAAATCGATACTGCCATCCCGAATGGCGAGACAGTCATCTCGCCATTTGTCAAAGACGAGACCACCGTCCCGATTGGCAAGACGGCCGTCTGTACAAAATGCATAACCAACGCTCACCTGCAAAACAACCATAAAAATTCCAGGAAGATGTAACACATGTCGTCTACCCTAGGGTTCAATAGTTCAATAATTTTATTACCAACACTAACAAAACATTAGGAACAAACAATGTAAAAAGAGGAGGAAAAAAACATTTTAAAAATGACATACATCTCGCACACTCAACTAAATAGGCTTGGCTCTTTAACGTGTCCCCAGTGGAGTCACCATCTGTCGCAACCAAAATCGCGACGGGACGACGAACCAAAATTTTAAAAGATTTTAAAAAAATCAGAATCAGAGTTTTGGAGTCACCACCATAGTTTATTTAGGGAAACTATGGAAAAACCATAAGGATAAGACAAGGTCTACAGAAACCAGATTCAGGTTCGGGAGCCGGTTACAAGTAGGGAAGGTATTAACACCCTACAATGTTCGTCCTAAGACGGTTACCCTTAGTTGAAAGTGCAAAATTGAATGACAGTTTAAAAATATTTATTTTTTCCCAAAATAGAAACCAAGGAAATAAAAAGAGAAAAAGAATAGGATGAACAAAAATAATTTTAGTTTTTTGGGTGCCGACAAGGATTGACCTTTCTCCTACGTATTCTCATTCAAAATGAGAAATTAGGGTTACATAGTTCTTTGTAGAAAAAGTTTGTATGTTTGATTAAGGTTTTGAAATATTTTGTGTTTTTGAAAGAGTTTTGTATTTGTTGATGTTTTGAAGACACATGATGACGCGTGTGGTCATACCCGTGTTTCAATGTTTATTTAAAAAGAGAAGACATGACGACTCATTTGGTCGTACCCGTACCTCAAAGTTTATTTAAAAGGAGAGGACATGGGTCGTACCCGTACCTCAAAGTTTATTTTAAAAAGAGAGGACATGACGACGCGAGTGGTTGTACCCGTACCACGAATTTTATTTTATAAAAAGTCATAAAGGGTCGGACGTCCGGATAACCTAATACGTTGGGCCGACAACCCTAGGTTGGTACGCGGGGCCGACAACCCTAGGTTGGTACGCGGGGTCGACAGCCTAGGGGGCCAACAACCCTAAAGTCAACGTGTAAGCGCCTACCGCAAATTAAAATATGTAACATCATTCAACCTGATTAAGAGACAAAAAATAAATACAAAATTCAAATAGCACAATCCAGTCTAAGATTAGAAATAGTCCACTCTGATTTAATCTTGCACAAACATCATAACCTGATTAAGCCCCCACAGGATCCAAACAACATAGTAATAGCACAACCCAATCCAATCTAAATAATACAATCAGTACATTCCGATATAAATAAGTAAATTCCACAACTAGGATGCACAACAAACCAAAATCCTAGATCAAACCTGCAACCCTTTCTTAATTAGACCACGGTTAACCGAAAACTTCAACCCATGATCACACAACATAAAAGAAATCAATTCAAATCAAACACTCCGCAGAATCACCGAGAGCTTGTAATTCCCCAATAATTATACCACATTTAAAATGAGAATCCACAAACATTTACAGGACAAAATAACATAATAAGGAATGAACAACAAAACTCAACTATGAATAAGTGCACCCTACCGCAACTTATGAGACTAAAATCTACACATCAAGTTTGAACAAAAATTCAGTAACATAATGACATCACAACAACAAAATCAAAATAGGACCCACAGTCCTTAATAACAATCCAAAAGAAAAAACAACCCCCAACTTGACAACCACAAGGTAAACATTATTTAGTCCATATCCTAGACAGGAGCAATCAATGTCAAGAATAATAAACTCAACAACAGGTTTTCCCACAAATGCTAGCAATCAAACAGAACAATACTAGCAAACCGACAAACAACAGAATGCAAAGAACATGAACTTTGTACCAAACAATGTCCTTGGTTTTGATTTCCACCCCAGATCCTTGAGAGAGATTTGATCTCCTCCACGGGTTTCACGTTAGCCAGTGATTCACAGGGAGGGGCATTCAGGCACCCCTCTTTTTGGTCGCTAGTGGTGCGATAAAGCAAGGTTGAGAGGACTCGCAACGACCTGCTTGGGGCGAGTTGTGACCAGGGCTCCGTGGTGGTGCGTAACCTCATTGAGGGCGGCCGGTGAGTGCTTGGCACAACTGAGTTTGCGGTGGAGGCCAAGATGATTTGAGGTTAGGGCTGATGAGTGGCTCACGAGTGGTGGTGGTTCGTCTAGGCGAGACTCTATGGCGTTTATGCGGGATGGTTCTCGGTGGCGGCTAGGGCAAGGTGCAGAGTGAGGGTATGGAAATGGGAAGCCCGGTGAGGGTGAGATGAAGGCGCGGAGTGATTGGGGCTGAGGGTGGCACGACGGGGCTAGATTGGGATTTAGGGATGACCAAGATGGTGGCCAAGGGGGAAGTGGCTGTGATTGGGATTTGGGGGTCCAGACGATCGGCATTGGGCCACGGTGGTGACGCGGCACGACTTAGGAGTGAGGGTCGGCGACAATGGCTGCGATGAGTCTGAGTGTAGGCGTGACCATAGTGGCCCTGAATGGCGATTCACTGTGGGTATAGGTGATCGGGAGTGAAAGTGAAACGAGGTGCGAGTTGGGCTCGCCGTGGTGCACCGTTTAGGAGGTGAATGGTGAGCTATAGTGGCTGGGCTCACTGGGGTGGGAAAGGGAAGGTGGAGGTAGTGAACGCTTGTTGGTGGTGCGGGGGTGGTTCATGATTTGGGGCTCGATGGTGGTGACAGAGGCTTTCGGTGGTGGAGGTTAGCAGCACGACAGTTGGTGGTGCGAGGTGATGGGAGGTGGCTGGAATCGGGGGTGGAAGAGTTGCGGTCGGGAGGGGGTGTGCGGGTTTTTTTGAAGAAGAAGGTGAAAGGAGGAGGAAAAAGGTGAGGCAGAGTGAGATTTGGTAGGAGAGGAGAATGTCTCCGAGTCTGGGAGAGAGAGCATCCGTCTGGGTGCTACCTAGGAGTGGAATCCCCGGTCGTCTCCTCTATTCTCTTTTAAAAGGGAACATTAGGTTAATTATTGTGGATGGGCTTGGCCCAAAAATAAAAATTTATTTTAAATTTTTATTCTATTACTTTATTTTCTTTTTGTTCTCATAAAAATATTTTTACTTTTTTTTTAAAATTATGGAATGATACTAAAAAAATTTATGATTATATTATATTATATTATTTTTATTTTTATTTTTCTTTTTTTTTTCAAATAAATTATTATCTATTTATTATTTTATATCTACCCGGATCGAAATTGGGTGCCGACAATCATGTACTATCCATAAGTGCACATGTCACGTAATGAGACCATAATTGCTTCCGCATATTTCTCGATTGCATAACTTTTTCTCGATGTCTTGTTTCTCTTGATTTGTAACCTTAGACTTTATATTCCCATTTCTTCGATTCTCAACATTCAATTGATCACACTTTACTTTCTATTGACTTCTCATTTGTTCAACTCAATCTCTTTTTTTGATAATACACACTTTTGAGCATTTCCTAATCATAAGCATTTTAAAGTTTGTACCTTCGATCCACACATTCCAATTTATTACTTTAGATTAACCTTTTTACTCTTAATTGATTTTTTTAGTCTTGATATTCAATCCTTGATAATCTCGATTATCTTTTTTCATTACAATTATTTCCTTAAAGACCTCTCATGCTTCTCAATTTATTTCCTTCGATATATTTGTAAATTTGTCAATAATAGAGTCACACATCGCTTAGAAGTCAAGATCCATGATAATTTATATACACCCTTGTAGACCCCAAATCTTGCCCGGGCTCCAAATAAAGTCAGAAGATCCCCTATTCGAAGACGGCCGAAGCCTAACAAGCCACTAGGAGAGACTATTAGGCTCCCGTACCAAGATAGGAGGGTTTTTTTTGGCCCAAAATAAAGATTCTCGCGTTGAAGGGGACTCCCGGGTCAAGTCTCGCTCAAGCGAGTACGTCCGTCGCTTGAGCGACAGGTGCCGCAATCAAAGGGGACTCCCGGGCCAAGTCTCGCTCAAGCGAGTACGTCCGCCGCTTGAGCGACGGATGCTGCCACCAAGGGGGACTTCCGGGTCGAGTCTCGCTCAAGCGGCCGATGTACTCACATGTACTCGCTTGAGCGAAAGATGCTCCAACGAGACCGGGGTCTCGTTCACCCGACCGGGGTCTCGTTGCCAACGAAAACGAGGCCGGGGTCTCGTTCACCCGGACCGGGGTCTCGTTGCCAACGAAGCGAGGCCGGGGTCTCGTTCACCCGAGCCGGGGTCTCGTTGACGACGAAAGCGAGGCCGGGTTCTCGTTCACCCGGGCCGGTGTCTCGTTGCTTATGCAAAACGAGACGGCGGTCTCGTTGTACGAGACGGCGATCTCGTTGCTTCGTCAAACGAGACGGCGGTCTCGTTGTGCGAGACGGCGATCTCGTTTACGTCGAGCGAGGCCGGCGGTCTCGCCACTGACGACGCGGAAACCTATAAATAGGGGCTCTCCCCCTCATTTCCACACACCACAGCTGCATAGCTCTCCCTTCTCTCTAAAACTTCTCTCTAGAATCCCTCAGACGCATTTCGGAGTTTCGAGTGTTTTCAAGAGTGATTTTCGGCGTTCGAGAGGTTTCAGACGTCTTGTAGAGCGAAGGGCTGCCATAAAGCACCCTATTTATCCGGAGAATTAATATAAAAAGCGTGCTTCGGAGGTTCAAATTCTCTCTTTCCACCTTTACCGCTTTTATCTTAAATTATGCGGTAGACGGTAGGGCCATGTAGTCACACTTTTAAATTCGCGAGAATAAAAAGGGCAAAAGTGTGTTTTTCTAGTTTATCAATAAAAATAAGCCGGCCTATCATAGGGAACCCGAAAGGGGCGTCGCAAAGGGACTAATACTCCTTTTGCACGTAACCAACTCCCTTACCCAACTCTGGTTCTAATGACCAAAGTTGGTTTTCGAAAACCAACGCCTTTTTAAACCCCTTTTCCGATGTTTATGGTAAAAATATCGGTGGCGACTCCATAGAACCCAAAATAAATAAGTCCTTGGATTAGCCGGTTATCGGACAGCCCAAGGACACTTTTCGAAAACCTCGTCTCTAGGTTAGCCGGTTATCGGACAACTCGAAGACGTTGTACCCACCAATAAAAAACGCGAAAATCAAGAGGGTCGATAAAACCATCGCGTCGCTCCGACCGCCTCGTTTTGACGGCGGCGACGGATGGCGACTTCACTGGGAAGCTTAGAGAGTTAATCCCATTTAGTGATGGCCGGCTTAAATAATAAATAAACCAAAGAAAATACACTTTTGCCCTTAACTTGTATTTATAACATGTTTTATTGTTTGGCTTTCAATAAACTGTTGTTTGTTTATACCTACGCAATTGATTGAAATATAAATTGCACACAAACCCTTGCACACTACAGTTCCTCCTATACCCGGGGGCAAGTGAGATAACCATAGGGAGTGGGTGGCGAGTACGGTTCGCTGCGGTTAGGGCCTTGTGCCCACCGGTGTGATCGGAAACCACCACTCAAGGTGATAACCTTCCTCTTTTGGCAACAAGACCGACTACGGCCTTAGTGTTGAGCATGGTCGGACGAGCTGGAGAGTGGGGACCCTATAATGGGGGCACCTTGGGGGCCTTAGCCTGGTGAGAACGAGCTAGAACCTACCCTAAACCAACGCACTTTTACGCGGGAAAACCCTACCTCGTGATAAAAACAGAATCTCGCCGGTTCGGGGATGATCGAATTGTGTGTGCATATGTTTGTTGCATTTGTATGTTGCATGGCATAAACAAACAACAGAACAAAAAAAAAAAACCAAAAAATATTTTTCAAATAAACACCCTTATCTCGGACGATCGCCTTTTAGCTAGCCTGGTTTCGGGTTCTTTGCAAGCTAAGTAGCCACGCGATTCAGACAGAAGAGATAAGGGACGATAAATATTCTTTCATAAAGCCATATTTTTATCTCGGACGATCTGCCTTTTAGCTAGCCTGGTTTCGGGTTCTTTGTAAGCTAAGTAGCCACGCGAGTTCCAGACAGAAGAGATAAAAGGCTATAAAATAAAAATTCAAAATAAAAAATAAAAATCCAAAAATAAACGAAACAACTCTTGACAAAGTCAAAGCATCCATACTACATCATATCATGAGTAAAGAAAAACCAAGGAGAGAAAATAAAAATGGGAGCGCATTCGAGCATCATTTAAATAAAAAACTCTCATGCATAAGCATATCCCATGTTAGTTTAAGCACTCAACATGCATTAATAAAACTTTTCGGACATTCTAGAAAGTGGTCGGTCCTTTTCCTACCCGTACTCGCGCACAAAAGGCTAAGGCAATGGAAAATCTAGAGGAGCAAAGCCAGGAAGCTCACTGCAGAAGTTAATACCCTCAGAGAGCGGTATAGCTCAACTAATGGAGGTTATACGCCAAGGTCGGAGCAAGGGCGCCGAGGGCCAAGCTGAAAATGCCCCTTCCCATCACGAAGAGGAAGAAGAGGAAGAATACTTCTTCGGCGGGAAGGATGCCAAGGCTGCGCGCATCCTTACCCCGAAGTATCCAAACAACAACTCTCACGCCCGGAGGAGAGGCTGAAGGCGGTCGAAGGACATAACTTCGACGTCAAGGAGGTGGCCGATATGTGCCTCGTGAAAGACATCCGCTTCCCTCCCAAATTCAAGGTCCCGGACTTCCCAAGTACGCCGGACTGACCTGCCCTAAGAACCATCTTACGATGTATTGCAGTAAGATGGCCGCCCATGCTTGACAACGAGAAACTCTGATCCATTGCTTTCGGGAGAGTCGCGGATACAACTCTCAGCTGGTACATGCGGTTGGAGAGAGGGCAGTCCGAGCTGGAAGCAGCTGCGAGACGCTTTTCTCCGTCGCTACAGTTACAACATCGATCCGACCCACGATAGGTCGGATCTCGAACTCCGAGCAAAAGGAGCGACGAGCCCTTTAAAGCATATGCCCAAAGGTGGAGGGAAATGGCGGCCCGAGATAGAGCCTCCTTTGACGGACAAAGAGACAGTGGCTATGTTCATCGACTCATTGGCTGGAGCGTACTACGACAAGGCAATAGCCGGTACCTCCAACCTCTTCTCGGATATAGTCACTGTAGGCGAGAGGGTGGAGCAAGGATTAAGGAGCGGGAAGATCGCACGGTCTTCCCAAGGCGGTGTCTCCTTCAAGAAGCCCGCCGGCAAGAAGAAGGACGAGTACGTGCACGCAATCAATTTTACCACTCCTTCTTCTACCCCACAAACGCCCAAGCAGCCCGTAAGAAAGAGAGGAAGTTCACTCCTATCACCACTTCCTACGGGCTCGCTGCTACCTCAGCTCGTTGGAGGCCAAGCTCCGACCTGCGCTCCTCCCAAGAAGCAATTAGAGCCTCCTTACCCCGAATGGTATAAGCCGAACGAAAAATGTGCTTACCATTCGGGCGCACCCGGTCATTCTACAGAGAACTGCTTGACCCTCAAGTATCGGGTTCAAGAGTTAATCGACGCCGGGTGGATTACTTTTGACACCTCTGCTTCTAGCACCGATGACAAACCTCTATCGAAGCCAGAGTAGTAAAGAGGGAGGACTAGGAGGACCGGCCTTAGGGTTTCTTTTTAGCTTTCTCTATATCTCCTGCGGTCCCCGCCCGTGGCCGCAGGAATTTTGACCAAAAGGGCTTGTAAATAACATCATTTTCTTTAATATACGAGGCATTTTTCGTCAACATTCATTCCATTCATTCTTTTCTCTCTTACATTTATTATTCTTTCAGAAATAAATTGAATAATAAAATCTATGACTAAAACAGAACCTAAAACGCATCATGTCTGTGATTGATGAATCCCCATGGACTCCGGAAACGAAAGGCGAATGGACTGAGTCCGA